AGGTCCCTCGGAGAGGACCTAAAGCCGTCGGTCCTCTGGTTGCTTACTAAACAAGCATTTATGCTTTCTTAGCAGTCAAGTAAAATAACCACCACTACACATTCCAATACTGGATGTATTGGAATGGATTTAGGCATCATGAAGGTACTCTTTTTTTTTAATGGACCATGATGACTATGGTGTAGTAGAAAAAAAAACACTAATAATAATGAAAAACTGCCATTTAATGAATCCTCAACAATAGATCATAGCAGCCATTTTTATCTAAGCGCAATTGCCAACTGACATCCGGATATAAAATTGGAAGAGTTACAGATCTGATCTATACCTTACTGCTTTATCTTATGCACAATTGAACTACCTTTTTTCACTCTAAAAATTGCTAGAAGGCAGCTTCTCTCATAAAATATTGGAATATGAATAAATGCATCCTTCCTCCAATCTCCTCATCACTCTAAAATACAAATCTGTATCTTAAACAAGGTTTGCTCCAGCTGGCTAAGAAGGCTTTAATAATATATTCCACTCTCTTTGACCCAAACTGCAAACTATCCTATAGGGACACAGCAGATTTACTATTCAAATGATTCATCATGGAATTTAGAGTATCAGTTGGATTTCCATGCACTTATCACTAATAAAGAGAGGTACACTTCTCGTCTTCTCCTTCTCTTTCTCCCATTAATAAAGTCCTTACCAATATTGGTGTCTCTCATTTTGTTCAATGATTTTTGTTAACCTCACATAACTTGGTCTCATACCCCGGTAAATAAGGCAATATATTTTGAGCTTGTTCAATTTCAGTTCAATAATGCTAATATTGAGCTGGGGTCAGGTCGGGGGTAGAAAATCTAGATGATATCAAGTTTGTCCCACTTTATTTTAATATCCAGGGCTAGACAAACTTTGGCTGCACTGTTTTGCTTCCCTGAAATTTTGACGATTGAATAAAGAATTCTGTTGTGCTTGTTTGAGTGGGATCTTTACTTTGTTGTATACACAAAAACTTGTTCTTGAACCAAAGCTGCCAACCTTGTACGACCAAAAAGAGGAACCATGATGGCAAAAAAAAGGAATTTTTTAAGACGAGCTTACAACCACGCGCACAAACTTCAAAAGCAGAAATGTCCAATCCTCTGTTTTTTCCCATATTGTGACCTATAGTTTATTAACAAGTAGGTATTTTGTTGTTGTTATTTTCGTATTATCGGCGTTTAATTCTTTTTGAGCATATTTTTCTCACGTACGTTTTAACGATAGTTTTCTATTGAATTTGTGATCAAAATAACAATTTAGGGCAGTTGTTTGACGTGCGGTATGTTAAAAAAAATATTTAAAAAAAAAAAATTAAACATATTTTATGAAGAAAAAACGGACCGGTACTACCGTAATTTTGAGGAAAAAACAGAGTTTCTCTGGGGAAAAACAGAATGGCTGGCAGCTCTGTTGAAATAATAAGATCAAATTTTAGGAAAAGCTGGTTGTGTCTTTGCCATCTGCTGAGAGCCAGAAGGATGTTGCATAAAAGCATTTTACATTTATAAAGTTACGTCCTTCAAGATCTCAGAAAATGATAAAGAGGATTAGATCAAAATTTGGTTTAGTCTTCTTCCTTATCTATATGCACCACTAGGTGATATCAATCTCGATGATCAATACCTCTCTTCAATACCACAAATCAAAGAATAAAAACTATTTTATACGACGACATAAACTTTCTTCAACATGGACTACCATGAAAGAAATTATTTACATGACACCTTGTGAAACTGTCTAATTTCATAGACTATTCCGTAGCATGGTAGAGGGCTTTACTAATCACCATACAGTACACAGCCAGAGACACAAACACCCCAACCAATTCATCATGCGCTATTACGCTTCTAAAAATACTCTCTCATTTTGATTAAAAGAGGGTGCAAAATTAGCCCGCAAACTGTCAAAATGCCCTTTTACGGACAGAGAAATGTTCATGCTTCGTGCTAAATTGGGTTACTGATGGCAGTGGGGGGGGGGGGGGGGGGGGTGGGTGACTTCAAGTGATATTAAACTGCTGGGGAATTAGAGTGTGACATATTTATGAAGTATGTTTTGAAATCAAAATGTAGGCCTGTGACTTTGATATCAAATAAACAGATGTTAACATTCTTTAAAGACTTTTCTTTGTTAACGATCACAGTGAAAGGATTGTTAGTCTTTGAAGGGAAATCCGACCCTTGCAATAAGTTCATTTGTACGAAAAACAGAAAAATAATATAAAGAGAATGGCAAAAACTTGAAGAACAAATATCATACCAATATTAAAAAAGTTATGAATGTTTGAAATATGAGATCAACTAGTCTTTTGAATCTCAAATTGTCAGTTTGGTCAGTGGATTGTGAGGTAGTCATGGATAACTCTCTCATTTTTTGTGTACAAAAATATCAATAATTGCTGTTTTTCTTCTATGTGCCTTATTTTACTTGGGGCACAACTCAAAATATATTTGAAGAGCCCATAACTATAGTGATGACAATTTCCAAAATCAACAACTTTCTCGTTTTTCATCTGATTTCATTTCAACTTTTAATAATCTACTTATCTGATTTTTCAGCTTCCCTCTAAAGTAGTTTGCTATCAAGGTTGGATTTCCCTTTAATATGTTGATGGTAAGCATGGAATTGAATACCCAAATTTCACTTGTAGGTACTTGAATTGGGATATAAATGTGTGCCATATTTTTTTAATTTGAAATTCCATAAATATTAAATTGCCAATAACAGTCAACACTTCTCTTTTTCAGTTGAGGCATACACACTATGTGGGTGGTATGACCAGCTTATTAATAATTAAAGATTTATATTAATATTAATAGAATTGAATCTCCAAACAGGTAGGAAATGGGGAGTTTTGGAAGTGACCACAAGTCAAAGTAGCCTCACTGGACGACAAACTCTACTATTTCAAATTCAGTAACCATAAGAATAGCAACTTTCACACAAAAAATGACCATCATTCAAAATTTACAAATCTTCATCACTTTTCAGCCACCAAAGCTGACTATTTTCTTTAAAAGTATGAAATAAGTTTCTGAACCTCTTTCGGTGCCCTCAAGGTTGGAAACATGGTGGTGTCACATGACCTACATCCTTCAACTTTCCTGACACCAAAAATACATTCCACATTACAATACAGCTCTTTGTCGATCTGGTCCATTTGATCATAAACCAAGGGTGAGGTGAAAGCTCCCCAAACCGACCAATCACGAGCCTCGGTGAGTGAGGCATGGCCTTATGGGCCGTGACCCGCCGCGACCTCACAAAGTTATGGAAGATTAACTTTCGGCTATGAAATATGGCAAGCATTGGCTTGGCTGCTTGGCTCTGAGGTTAGACTCATAAATGTCATAATAAACTAACCGCCCAACAATCAGTCAAGTTTCGGGCTTCAAAACATTTGTCTTTCATCCCCCCCCCCCCTCCCCATGCTCCTTACTTTAATCATTTTTTACAAGGGCACATATGATTTGAACATTACCCAGTGTTTCAAAGTTGGTGGGCCGTGCAGATGTTCAAATGAAAAGTAGTGGGGGAAAACAGGGAAAATACTAGTGTTTCAACAGCCAAAAAAGGCCCTTTTGTTTACTAATGAAGGTACCTGCATTGTGGTTTACTGTATTATTCGCTTAATTCATTTCTGAGGTTGTTTTGTGAGAAACGAAGGCCAAGATTGCATCAGGATGCAGACAAAATTTGTTTTATATTGTACTAGTAGCCAACTTGGAACATCAACAAAAGGAACAGCAGAAGTAATAGCGGTTAGGGAGAAAAGTTTATGTAATACATTGAACATGATAAAGATGTTATGTTCCGAGGTTGTTTGTGCGAAACGAAGGCTAAAATTGCATTAGACTTTATAAACAAACATTTCTATAGCAGTAAACTTAGAACAACAGCAGAAGGAATTGCAGCAGTAGTATTAGCAGACAGAGAGAACGCTTATCTGTAACACAATGAAAACGATAAAGAAGTTATGTTCTGAATCTGAGGTTGTTTTGTAGAAACGAAGGCTAACAGTAAACTTTGACCAATAGAAGCAACAGCATCAGCAGTATTAGCAGACAGAGAGAAAAGCTTATGTTACACACTGAAGACAACAAAGGTGTTAAATACAGAGTGCATATCACAACACAACAGGAAACACTTAAGAGTACATGTACATGTACATATTAAAACTGTATTTTTAAAAATGAAGATAACATATATTCACAGAGGACTCACAAGCAAAGGACATGGGCAAATCCGTAAAATTCAACTCATTAAATTAGATTCCTAAAATAAAGCATTCTACAATACATTCTTCAATGACTTTTCACTTTTTGTACAAACAAGATATATATACGGTACATGCATGGTGCCCTTTGTGAATTTTAAAGTCAAGACTCAAGAACAAATTTAATATTCAAGAATACCCTTACTAATTTTCTTCAATTATGACCAAAAAAAGCCCTGATTAACCTATTTCCTTCTTAAATACCAATTGGTGATTCCAAAGATGAATTTAGAAAGCATATTGTCAGACATCCCTTAAGATATGGTCAAATGATTAGTATTACAAGTTACATAATGTTATAAAATTTCAAATAGAAGGTATATGGCTTGCACTGCTGGAAAGGTGTAATGAGTTACAGGTAAACAAAAACAAAAAAAAATTATTGGATTTGATTTGATGCATTCAGAGGGTAATGTAATGAGAAAGAGTGAGAGAGAAAGAGAGAAAAGCACAAAAAGATATGAACTCTACAAATAAAAAGCATAAATTAATAAACTAATGATAAACAAAATTAGAAAGCAGGATGCATGAAATGCCTCCCCATTCCCCAAAACCAAATTTCAAGAATTATTAGAAATTAATCAATTGATTAATAAACGTGAGATTTAAAAGAAAAAACATTAGGAAAACAAAGCGAAACAGAAACATATGATTTCTAGTAATTTAAATCACTATTTTAAATGGATACCTTTGCTTATTCAGGGAAGGACATTTGGGTACTGGAGGCAACCGTTCTAAAGCACCAGGCCTGCGGATAGGAGAAGGGTAGAAAATACAAGGGTATGTCACAGTCAAGGAAAGGGGAAAATGAATGCAAAAATAAACAAAACAATAAATGGAGTTAATTTGAATTGGATTTCTGAGGTATAGATCATTAGGGGAGATCTGATGATACTATAAAATGTTATTTTCTGTAGTTGAATAAACAATTTAACTCAAACAACCACCACTGACCAGGAATAGCTCAAAACGCTTTTTTATTCTGTAAAAGAAAAAGGCAGTATATAAATTACAACTATTATTCATCGTTATTAAATCACATTAGGAGTATCTATAAATCATATGTCATCATCAATGATTTAAAAGGAGGTCTTGTGCATTTGTTTAAGAATAGATCATGCTTCTTTTTAATTTTGATGTATAAAAGCTTGAGACCTTTATGAAAGAGAAAAGCCATGAGTAACAGATGATGAAATTAAAACCTCAATAATTGACTTGCAGAAGCACTTGCATGCATTCTTTTTCATGCTGAATGTGCATGCTATAAAGAAAATGATACTACATACTATTAAAAGTAGTTGACATGAATTACATGACTATCTAGAAGCAACGTACGAGCGTGGTCAATTTTTACGATTTGTTCACAGTGCTCAAATATCAATCATACTCATACAGCATGTACTTGTGCATTTGAAACACACCAAACAAACAAAAAAATGATCAACAATTATTTACTGTGAGCCATATTGGGCATTAAGTGACACATTTATACTTTAAAACAGAGTTATATAATGCCCTTCTGGCTCTCAACAGAAGGAAACAAATGTAGTGCAGTTTTTTTGTATTAATTAATGCAATAACCAACAAATGGACAACATTCTGAAATTTCATTAAAAATGTGGCCCCTTCATGGCCATTCAGATTCTCCTCAGACCATTTTCATAAATTTATGTGTGCAGATGTTTCTTTCTACAGAACTCAAAATATTTGTATGCCAATCATGGCCATTTTACCCAATCTGCATTGCCAAACGAATTGATTATTCACTGATGTTCTGGTTCAACATTTCAAAATGGCACGTCAGACAATAATAATTCCACCAGCATTCAAGCTGCATGTATACGGACGGGTCCACGATTGCCATGAATTATAGATTCATTGCATGGATATAAACTCCATAAACAGTCGCTTTTCATAGAGTTTCATGTCTGACATTGCCCACTGGTTAATTTAATAGCAACTACACATTTGCAACATGCGATGTTGATTGTGATGTTGATTGCGATGTTGATTGCGATGTTGATTGCGATGTTGATTGTGATGTTGATTGCATTGTTGATTGCGATGTTGATTGCCATGTTGATTGCGTTGTTGATTGCCATGTTGATTGCCATGTTGATTGCGATGTTGATTGCGATGTTGATTGCGATGTTGATTGCGATGTTGATTGCGATGTTGATTGCATTGTTGATTGTGATGTTGATTGCGATGTTGATTGCATTGTTGATTGTGATGTTGATTGCGATGTTGATTGCATTGTTGATTGCATTGTTGATTGCATTGTTGATTGCATTGTTAATTGCATATAACATACTGTATGTTGATAGCCAGAAGAGCGTTAACTCTATGTTAAATAATGGGAGTTACCGCCCTTTCGGCTCTGAGCGAAATGATAACATCTTGATTACATACAGATACACCATCAATCATCCATTTTAAAACAAAATAAACACACATAACAAAATTGTGATGCAATATGGTGTTCTGAGTGGTCAACAGTCCGTTAAGGCCATATAAATGGATGACTTATGAAATCTAATATTCCCCTTGGGTATAAATTGGGTATTTATGAGGATTAAAGATCAATGATATGACGAGCTCTTTTTCAATTTTAACTTAAACAAAAGAAGCTGCTGTTCTGACAATGTGTTTAAAAGAAGAAAAAAAATCAATCTTTGTTTTCCTAGGCTATTTGCTCATTATGGTAATAACATAGGCCTATGAATAAACTTCTTGCAAACTGTTTTCTTGATGTTTTCTTATTATTAACGATGTCTATCTAACAAACTAGCTCGGAAGGGCGCAGATTAGCCCGCTTTTTCCCAAATAGCAAGATATTTTGGAAACAAGACCAAGATTTCTCAGGATATTTGGTCAAAAAAATATCCTTAGAAATCTTGGTCTTGTTTCCAAAATATTGCAACTGCGGGCTGATAAAGATGCAAATCAATTGGTTAATTTGCGATCGGGATAGTTAAAGAAGCGGGTTATTTGGCAAATTTGAGCTGATGATGACAGGCCTAATGCTCTCTAATAGTTTCAATCTATTACAATTCTCTGCTTGTTACGTTTTTTTCTTTATGTTTCAAGGATTTTGAATGCCTAATAACAAGGCTTCATATTAAGAGGATTAAAATCTCAGAAATCGTTTCTTCCCACTCTTCTACGACAGCCAGTTATAATGATATCCCCTTTCTAAACATTGACCTTTGACCTGTCCTACTTGACCTCTCACCTTGTATGGCTTCAGGGTCACCCTTCATGACCCTCTGTAAGCGATCCCTGACCTCCTTGACTCTCTCTTCTTGCCGTCTGATGTCTGCTTCTGACACCATGAACTTGAGGCATGGGGGCTGGTCTGCGTTGAGATACACACCAGGGTTCTTATCCAGGTGAGGCTACAAACAAAATGAATAAATGAATAATAGAATTATGACAATAATTGTAACGATACGCCATTCTTGTAGCACATACATCTTTTAAAGGGACTTTGTAACACTGTTCAGATGAGAGAAAAATGGTGCTAAGGTAGTGACTTCAATGCTAGATATACAACCAAAGATAATCTGAAAGTTTGAGTTAAGACAGACCATTATTAATTATATAAATTGGGAAAAACTGATCTGGTCGAATCCTTAATTTAATTCTCCAAACTATATTAGTACAATTTAATTCCAATTTAGGTGAATGTGAATGTAAATCGCCACACAGCAATGAATTGGCTCTATATACAATTCCATGAAAAACTTGAAGTGTTGAAACATTTTTTAAAGCCTGTCTTATGTACTATTTTCATGGAAAAAAGATTGGGAAAATTCAAAAATGGTTGGGAGAATTTACTGTTAGAGGGTGTTGCACAGTGACGTCTTTAAAGAAAACCATATATATCTTTGTGGTTTGAGAATTTTTTGCCCTTTAGAGGGTTAGTACAGTAGAAGTAACATAAAAATTAACATTTCATACACAAAACACACATTTTTTTCATCAACATTCAACAATGTTACCGAGTCACTTTAAACAAACAATATACGCCAGAAACAAAAGTCCATACAAGATGTGCCATTGGCATTAAAACAAAGGAAAACATTAACAAATACAAAGGCAGGTTAAACAGAATGTGAAGTAAATAAAGGAATGGATGCGATATCTTTTAGTTAACGGTCAATTATAGACTTGAAATGAATTTGAGAGTAATTTTGAATTTTATGGGGTCATTTGCCCTCAGCAACATGTTAGTTTGAGTTCTGTTAATTGACAGATATGGCTGACAACAAACAATTCAAGGAAATTGCATTTTTACAAGAGGTCGTTCCACAACTCTAAATGGTATAGACTGAATGAATGATATGAATATTATGAGGTCATTTGCCGTTGGATATTATTATATTGGGCACTTAGCTATGTAGCTAGAGAGGAGGAGGGTAAGAGGATTCACTGGGCTGGCAATGGCGTAGTAATGCAGGGAGTGTTTGCATTTCCTGAAAAAACAATTTTTTTTTCAAAACCAAAAATTGGCTTTGAATTTTTGATGGTTTGTAATTATTTTAATCTAATAATGCTTTAAATTCATTAAAGATGTATGATGCAAGCCTGATAGATACGACAGAGACACAAAACATACAAACTGTATGCTTAATCGTGCCTTCAGTAAACTTCAGTGTAATTATTATGGCAAGAGGTTGAAGAAGGTCTACGTTTACGAAGTGTGTGTTAACTGTTGAGTTAAACAAAATAGATACTTGATGTCATAAAAAGTAGCTTCTTGAATTCAAGCATGCCCTACACCAACTACAGAGTAGAAAATGTCAATCTAATCATGATTTCATCTGTTGTAACATCATCGTTTCTTTGGAGTACACTCTAGCTCCTACAGAGATATTATCATCTCTACAATGTACACCACCCTCCTCTCCCTCAAGGAGTGATGCCTTAAATGTCATGAAACACAAGAATCTGAAGAAGATACTTTAATACCGGTACATACAAATCTCATGCACTGAGGCTCATCAAAGAAAAGAGGCTAATGTCGCAATGATTTAAATGTCATCAGATTGTGAACCTATGAGGAGTTTGTTTATTTTGTTTGTCCTGAAACACAAGGTCTTCAAGAAAGCATGTAACAAAATTATTTCAAAAAAATAAACAAAAACAAAGTCATCATCATTCTAGTGTCTATCTCTTGTACCCCCCCCCCCCCCCCCCCACCAACCCCAACACATACACACAGACTCATCAGAGAAAAAAGGCTAATGATTTTATAACTGTCAACAGATTGTGAATCTCTGACGAGTTTGTTTATTTGTTTGTCATGAAACACGAGGTCTTAAAGAAGCAACATACATTTTTTATATTCCTCTTTTTACATTCTACACCCCCCTCCCCCCCCCCCCCCCCCACACACACACACATGGATCAAAGAAGCTGGCTTATGATTAAGAAGTCATTACATTTTGAATCTCTGAGGATTTCATTCATTTTGTTAATCATGAAATGCAAGCTAGGTCTTTAAGAAGCTACCTATATACATTAAAAATAAAACTCATCTTTCTACTATCCATCTCAAGCCACCCCCTCACACACACCATCATAAAAAAGCAGGCTAATGATTTAAATGTCAAATGATTATGATTCTCAAAGGAGTTCATTCCGTTTGCCTGGAATTTCAGAATAGATCACCTTCATAAATTCCAGGCCATGTCAAATCTAGGTGAATTATTGGAATCAGAATATACTCGTTAGAAACTTTCATTATGCTCTTAAAGGGCAAGAGGACAGGATTTCATTCCATTCCATTTGTAATGATTTTTAATAAGGTTTTAAGATGTATTTGCATTTTATGAAAACGTTTCTCTCTTCACTTATCACCAAGATTGTATCAGTCATTGGCAAATACCATAGTCATCGATAATGCCATATAAAATGTGCTGTACAGGTGTAACAAGGTATGGCCTCATCAGCTCGAGATTACCAAAAAGCCCGCTATTTCTGATTTGGGAAATAAGCCCAAAGTTACAAATTGCGTCTTCATCAGCTCAAGACTCGAGCTCAGCCATGCTTTTCAGGGAACATTTTTTCTCTGATGTTCTTCCACGCTTGCATAATACCAATGACAACTCTCACAAATTATTTTTCACCTCTCCCCAGAACTCAATCTTCTCTTTAAAGTCATAAGGGCATTAAACCCCTCTGAAAGTGTAAGAGTTAATGCCCTTCTGGCTCCGACCAGACACTATTATGACCTTCTGTTTCTTACGGTAGTCTAGACTGACAATATAATCTACAGTCGGCTATCGATAAGTAACTGCTGCCTGAATTTGAATGGTTCCATCTTGATGAAGCATGCCGAGAGGCCTGTCCTCATCGGCTCGAGATTGCCAAATTTCCTGCTATGAGAACTATCCCGATCGCTAATTATCCAGTTAATTTGCGTCTTCATCAGCCAGAAGTTGCAATTAGCAGGATTGTCCGGTGCGCCTTCACCAGCCCGAAGACTCGCACTATGCGCGAATGCTGAGCAAAACGTCTCAAGCTAATTTCTCGAGCTCGAGTTTCAAGTTTCGAGATCAACGTAAGTTTTAACTTCTGGATTATTTCCCAATTCAGAAATAGCGGGCTACTTGGCAATCTCGAGCTGATGAGAACAAGCCTATGGTTCCATGAGAGTACATGTACATCCTCCTCCTTCCATCCAGTCATCATCCTTCTCTTATCCTTCTCTCATCACCACCCTCCCTTCATCCATCATGAGATGACCTCCTGATCCCCTAACCCCCAGATTGATTACCATCCAGGTATCAGCCAATCTAGTCTACAAAAAACAGACTCCAAGTTTGATTACCATCCAGGCCTGTATCATCCTATCTAGTCTACAACAAACAGACTCCTTCATTTCATTTCAACAGCTCAGCACAATGTAAATACAAGAAACTTTTACATGCATGAAATGTTCACATATTTTGCGAGTGGTTCTAATTTGCAAAAGTTTCTTGCCACAAATCGACTGAATCACAATTTGTTAGCCTGTTTCATGAACCGATGTATAATATATATCTAACTGTATGTATTCTTCTGCTTATAATAACGCCAATGAATGCTTCAGAGTCTGAAAATCTTAGCTAGAAATTTGTGATGTTTGATTTTTTGTTTAAAGGCACACTGTCCTACTTGTACAGTGTAGCTACTTGCTCCCTCTATATAGAAAACTTCCCCAATCGGTGCCTGTTGGTCCCCCATGATCCTCTTTTTCTTATGTTAAATGAGAGCTTAGTTAATGAGATAGCCACCTGTCACAGTGAACTCGCTGGCTCGCTGGGTGGTCTAATCCCTTCTAGCTGAAGTAGTAAAGCCTGCCTTTAAAGTCTGAATTCTCCAAGAAGTTGAGTTGTAATTCAGACTCACAGCAAATAACACTAATTTGTGCATGCAAGGACGACGACAGAAGGAAAAATAAATACGGTCAATAAAATACGCCACTTGAGAACCGTCTTCAGCACAGCATGTACTGCAAGTATGGATACTGTTGCAATGTTGCCCGGTGCATTCGTACTCTGGAAGCTAATACTGTTTTCACACTGGCAATATTTTGCTTAACCCCGTACTATAGGTGGGGTTAAGGGGGGGTCTTAGCCCCACCTATAGTACGGGGTTAAGCCTATTCCACTTTCTGTTCAGACTGGCTTTTTACCAAAGTGGGCTAAAGTTGGCTAACCCCACCTACAGTACGGGGTTAACTAACCCTGCAAAATAGCAGGGCTAACTCCGCAATTGTGGTGCTAACTCCTGCTAACCCTGCAATTGCGGTGCGAGGCAAATGAATGAGAACAGAAACGAAAAATAGTCCAGTACTACGCAATGGAGCGTATCGCAGCTGGCCAGATGCGAAGTATGTCCAATCATAACATTCACGATATCCGGGGTTAACGAATTGCAGTGAGAACAGCGTGAATTTTCTTATTCTGGAATAGGCGCAGGTACGGGACTAAAAACAGCGTGTGTGAAAAGCCAAGAAAAATAGTACGGGGCTAAGCAAAGTATGGGGCTAAGCAAAGTATGGGGTTAAGCAAAACCAGTGTGAAAAGAGTATAAGTATAGGCAATGTATCGTATCGACAAGAGATCGAGTAATACGGGACGCTGCATGGTGCTGCAATAATACCATAGACAATAATACGATCAGTTATCTAGACAGGTTAATCTTACTAGGAAAGCTAGAGATTTGATAACTGCGGTAATGAAAGTCAATGAAAATCAAGGCAGATGAAATATCAGAAAACAACAAATTGGTAGATTTTTTTTTTCCTTCAGAGAACTTTTGGATTTGTTTATGGAACGTCAAAATTTTGTCGCAATAGTTTTCATGTCTTTTTTCTTTCTCAATATTCTACTCGCAGAGCTTAATT